AGGGTCGCACAGGTGGGTGAGCCTCCCTGCACGGCCCCAGGAGGGTGTGAACCTCACACAGGCGGGGTGAGCCTTCCTGCACGGCCCCAGGAGGGTGAGGGTCGCACAGGCGGGGTGAGCCTCCCTGCACGGCCCCAAGAGGCTCCCACTGTGCAGATGAGAGGGCCGGGGCCAGGGCAGCTGTCCCCAGACTGCCTGGCCTCTGAGTCTGGCCAGGCCCCCCCAGACTGTCACAGGTCCTGGGAGGCGCCGGGGGCAGGGAGATGCGGCGGGGGGCGGGCGAGGCCCTGCAGCCGGGCATGGGGCTGGAGCAGGGACCGGGGCCCCCTCCCCGCAGGGCTGGATTTGCTGCGTCGCCAAATGCCGCGGCTGATCGGCTGCTGGGCGTGTGACCTCGCGCCTTTGAAATCCGCGGAGCCACGGGCCTGGCTATCCCGCCCCCCCGCCGGCCACACCCGCGCCAGGCCGGTCCCCTGGTGCCGCCTCCTCCTCCTCCGGGCGACCGGGGCTCTGCCCCCCCACACAGTGCTCCGGGATGACGGGCGGCGCGGAGAGCAAGGACACCGGGGTCCCGGCCGCTAGCCCTGGGGACCCCCTCCCACCTTTGGCGGCCGCGCGCCTGCGCACTGGCTCCGGCGCCCGGGCCCCTTGGCCCCAGGGGCGGGGAGAGGTTGCCGGGGCAACGCGTTTGCGTCAGCCAACCTGGCGCGGCGCCCGGGCTCTGAGGGCGAGGGAGGCGGGGCCCGGACTCTGGGCCAATAGGATTCCAGATATTTAGCGTGTAAGGCGTGGCCAGAGGCCGCGCTCTAGCCAATGGAATTGTTGTTGTCGGGCCGCGCGAGCAGCGCGGTACTCCTCTAAAAGGGACCACACACCTTACTCCGCACCTCGCTAGCCTCTGTGTTCTGGGAGGCCTCGGGCTCAGGGTTGGGGGGGGTCATTGGGCCTGGCCCAGGTCATAGGGAATGGAGGGCGCAGACTCGGAGTTGGAGGTCACAGGGCCGGGCCCAGTCCCGCGTTCTCCTCTTTTGCCCCTTTATGTGACTCTGGGTCCGGTCTCGTTCTCCTGAGCCTCAGTTTCCCCAGGTGCACAGAGCTGGGGAGTTGGGACACTTGGGAGTGCGGTGCGTTCACAGCCCGCTGCTCCCCTGGCGGCCGCCCCTGCATTTATGCAGCGCCTACGTTTTGCACTAGGACCCCCTGCAACGACCTGCCTCTCTGCAGGTCATAGAGGAGCCAGGGGGCGGGGGACCCCAGAAGATGAGCAGGGACTGAACCCCAGGCCTGGGCCCTGCGCCAACACCTCTTCCTCTGTGGCCAGTAAACATTCCTTTCAAGGACCACTACCGGAGAGGCTGGGAGGGTTGGTCCCCCAGGTTGCTGGCGCTGTGCAACTGACTCAAAGCACAGAGGCAAGTGGTCAGGAACTGACCCCCCGGTGGCCACAGCCACAACCCATAACCCAGGCAGGCCCCACTGTCCACCGCAGCCCTGATCAATGAATCACAAGTCAGGGGCAGGAAACGAGATGGAAGGACACACGGTGTAGACGGCAGGGGAGGTGGCCCCACCAACCCACCCTTCTGCCACCGTCTGTGTCCCAAGCCTGGAGTGTCCCAGTGGCAACCCTCGAAGAGTGGGCAGGCTGGAGGCCCGAAACCCCTGCAGAGGCTGGCCGAGAAGAATGGGGGTGGCCCCTTTGGCCATGGGAAGTGGCACAGTCACAGGTCCCGAGAAGGACATGGGCATCTTTAGGGGCTGTTATTCGTCTGACCACAGAGTGTCTCAGGCTTCCCCGAAAGAGCCTGGACCCCATCTTCACCATGTGCTGCCCTCCTGCTGGGACCTTGGGGTCTCCTGTTTGCAGCCAGTCCAGGACCCCACGAGTTCCTCACTCCTGTTTCTCTCAGGAGAGGCCTTTTAAAGGTCTGCATTTGTGTTCGACTTCTTTTTTCTGCAATGGTTTTCTTAATTATAAAAATACACAAGCAGCCGCACTCTGTGGCCCAGGTTGGGGCAGAGTGGCATGATCTCGGCTCACTGCAGCCTCTGCCTCTGGGTTCAAGCATTCTTGTGCTTCACTTTCCCCAGTAGCTGGAATTACAGGCATGCGCCAGCACATGCAGTCCCGCTGTCGCCCACGCTGGAGTACAGTGGCGCAACCTCAGCTCACTGCAACCTCCACCTCCTGGGTTCAAGCGAATCTCCTGCCTCAGCCTCCCGAGTAGCTGGGATTACAGGTGGGTGCCACCACACCCTGCTAATTTTTGTATTTTTAGTAGAGACGGGGTTTCACTATGTTGGCCAGGCTGGTCTTGAACTCCCGACCTCAGGTGATCCACTAGCCTTGGCCTCCCAAAATGCTGAGATTATAGGTGTGAGCCCCTGCACCCAGCCTTATTTTATTTTATTTCTTTGAGACAAGGTATCGCTCTGTCACCCAAGCTGAAGTGCAGTAGCCTGATCTCGGCTCACTGAAGCCTCGACTTCCTGGGCTAAAGCAATCCTCCCACCCCAGCCTCCTGAGTAGTTGGGATGACAGGCGAGTGCCACCACACCTGGCTAATTTTTGTGTTATTAGTAGACATGGGGTTTTGCCATGTTGGTCAGGGTGGTCTCGAACTTCTGACCTCAGGTGAAATGCCCACCTCAGCCGCTATTGTTTCTGAGTGATGCCATCCTGGTGGGTGGGAAGTGCTGTCTTCAGATGGATTTTTTTTTTAATTTTATTTTTTTAAAAAAAAGATGGGGGGCTGGGTGCAGTGGCTCACACCTATAATCCCAGCATTTTGGGAGGCCGAGGCGGGTGGGTCACGAGGTCAAGAGATCGAGACCATCCTAATCAACAAGGTGAAACCCCGTCTCTACTAAAAATACAAAAATTAGCTGGGCATGGTGGCGCGCACCTGTAGTACCAGCTACTCGGGAGGCTGAGGCAGGAGAATTGCTTGAACCCAGGAAGCGGAGGTTGCGGTGAGTGAGATCGCGCCATTGCGCCACTCCAGCCTCGGTAACAAGAGCGAAACTCTGTCTCAAAAAAAAAAAAAAAAAAAGATGGGGTTTCACCATAATGGACAGGCTGGTCTTGAACTCCTGACCTCAGGTGATGCACCCACCTCGGCCTCCCAAAGTGCTAGGATTACAGGCGTGAGCCACTGCGCCCAGCCTCCAGATGGTTTTGATTTGCATTTCCCTGATGGCTCATGTGTTCAGTCCCTTCTCACATGGATGTTGACCAACACATGTGTAAATGTTCAAGAACCACATGTTTAGAAAAGTAAAAAGAAGCAGATGACATTGACTGGTTGTGGTGGCTCAGGCCTGTAATCCCCAGCACTTTGGGAGGCTGAGGCAGGCGTATCACGAGGTCAGGAGTTCGAGACCAGCCTGGCCAACATGGTAAAACCCCATGTCTACTAAAAATAAAAAAAAAATAGCCGGGCATGGTGGCGCGTGCCTGTAATCCCAGCTACTCAGGAGGCTGACGCAGGAGAATCGCTTGAACCCAGGAGGTGGAGGTTGCAGTGAGCCGAGATCGCGCCACTGCACTCCAGCCTGGGCGACAGAGCGAGACTCCGTCTCAAAAAAAAAATAATTAACTAAATTAAAATTAAATTAAAATTTAACAATTGCCGGTCCTTCCGAGGCCTCCTGCACAGTCACAGCCACCTGTGGCCCCGAATCCAGCCAGAGGAGCATGTAAGGGAGGCTGCTTCCAGGACGTCAGCTGCAGGTGGAGAGAAACGGGAGGGGCAGCAGCGCTGACCTGCCAGGGACCTTGCCATGGGGCCTCAGTCAGCCTTGTGTTCATGACACGCTGAGGTCAGGACCAGGGCCACTGCTGCTACCTGGTAGAAGAAGCGGTTTCCAGCTATTTGGTGACCAGCGCTGGCGGCCTGAGCTGAGAGGTCCCGGGAGCCACACCCGACCCCATGTCCCGCTTTCCTACAAAGTAGGGGGAGCGCCATGGGCCACCTGCCCAGAAAGGCAGGTCCATCCTCTGCCTGTCACAGCTCAGAGCGATCCCCAAGCCGGCAACAGAGCCATGGGGACACAGTGGCCTGGCGGGGCGTGGGGCAGGAGCTGCTTTCCAGGACGGACAGACGGAGCCGTTTTCCCGCCAGCTTTCCCGGGAGCGGGATCCCAGCTGGGATGCGAGGCCGGTGATGAGGCAGAGGGCGGGCAGCTGCTTTTGTTTTCCATCTGCTTCTCTGGCTTGGAAAGAAGGGCAAACAGCTCCAGAAATATCGAGGAACGCGGGCCACGCCCCCGGGGTGGCCACCAGGCGATGGTACCAGAAGGTCAGCAGGGACGCAGCATAAACAGCGGCCACAAAACACCCACATGGGGCACACGCCGAGTGAGCACATGGGCACCTGATGCCTGGCAGCCTCCAGGACGGCGTGGCCTGAACACCTGGCAGGAGGGGACAGGGGACAACGTGGCCCAGCCAGGCTGGACACCTTATCCCATCAGGAACAGAGCCATGCCACAGCTCGGATGAACCTGGGGGATGTCATGCTCAGTGAGATCTGCCATGCTCAGAAGGCCATGCAGTGTGTGACCCCATTTCTACCAACCGTCCAGGACATGCCCATCCAGAGACAGGGAGGGGATGTGTGGGTGCTGATGGGGGCAAGGTTGGTTCTTCTTGGGGTGCAGAATGCCCTGGAATTGGAGGTGGCAGTTTGCACACTTTCCTGAATGTACCATATGAGGCCAAATTGTACGCCTTAAATGAGTGAATTGTATGGAATGTGAATTACAAACCAATAAAGACACTTTGGTCCAGCACCGTGGCTCCTGACTTTTATTCTAGCACTTTGGGAGGCTGAGGTGGGCGGAACGCCTGAGGTCAGGAGTTCAAGACCAGCCTGGCCAACACGGAGAAAACCTGTATCTACTAAAAATACAAAAATTAGCCGGGCATGGTGGTTCATGCCTGTAATCACAGCTACTCAGGAGGCTGAGGCAGGAGAATCGCTTGAATCCAGGAGGCAGAAGTTGCAGTGAGCAGAGATCCTGCCATTGCACTCCATCCTGGGTGACAGAGAGAGGCTCTGTCTGAAACAATAAATAGGCCAGGTGCGGTGGCTCACGACTGTAATCCCAGCACTTTGGGTGGCCGAGGCATGTGGATCATGAGGTCAGGAGTTCAAGACCAACATGGCCAAGATGGTGAAACCCTGTTTTTACTAAAAATTGGCCGGGCACGGTGGCTCACACCCGTAATCCCAGCGCTTTGGGAGGCCGAGGCCAGTGGATCATCAGGTCAGGAGATCGAGATCATCCTGGCCAACATGGTGAAACCCCATCTCTACCAAAATACAAAAAATTAGCCGGGTGTGGTGACACGCGCCTGTGGTCTCAGCTGCTTGGGAGGCTAAGGCAGAGAATTGCCTGAACTCGGGAGGCAGAGGTTGCAGTGAGCCGAGATCATGCCACTGCCCTCCAGCCTGGGTGACAGAGCAAGACTCTGTCTCAAAAAATAAATAAATAGGCCGGGCGTGGTGGCTCACGCCTGTAATCTCAGCATTTTGGGAGGCCGAGGCGGGCAGATCACCTGAGGTCAGGAGTTCAAGACCAGCCTGGCCAACATGGTGAAACCCTGTCTTTATAAAAAATAAAAACAAATAAAAAAAATGTTTATTAAATCATTTACCATGATTTTTTAACTTGAATTTCTATTTTCTCTAATGTATTTCAGCACATGAAGTTTCCTAATGTATCCTTCCCGTAGGTTTTCCCTCCAGTCACAATTAGTGTACTTTGTCCCATATACATTTTGACTTCAACTTGATCGTTAAGACTGCAATTGTTGGCCGGGCGCGGTGGCTCAGGCCTGCAATCCCAGCGCTTTGGGAGGCCAAAGGGGGAGGATCGCTTGAGGCCAGGAGTTCAAGATCAGCTTGCCAACGTAGGGAGACTTCATTTGTACAAA